ATGCTTATTGTTCTAAGAACTCACTACATTTCTCCATGCTGATCTTCACAAATTATCTGCGTCATATTAAATAGTTCATATACATTCAACTATAAAAATCGACAGAAACACGAGAAAACTATTTGTTGAAACAGATCAAAAATGAAATTGAGAGTATACAGGATTGTGAGTGACAATTCACTAGAATTATCTCACAGCTCATGCAGATACTACGCTATTGGAGGATAAAGCTTATCAAGAGGACCAGAACTGTGTGCTTACTCAATATTCTTTTCAAAAATTATTCATAATAACAGGATTACTATGATTAACAGGAGTTTAACTTACCAGTCTATACATAATGTGACTAACTGCTATAACATGGTATTAATGTCACATGATGTAACATAACCTCAAAATTTCTCTCTAAATTGTACACTTAACCCCATTTCCTACCCATTAACAGAAACGCCTCAATCTTGGGTCATTTTCTGCATTGCTTGACATACTGATATAAACTAGTATTATTCCCATATAATGTAACTTAACCTCAAACCTCATTTCGAAAATTTATCTCTAAGTTATATATTGAATTCCATTATCTATCCATACGGAAAACGAGTTTTTCTTCACAACTTAGAAAGCGTTTTGATGTGACGTGAAATTTTAAGAGTTTAGAAGTAAGAATTTTACGATACATGAATGAACACGTGGTTGTAATGATAGATAGAAAACTTTTATTCCCGTTTGAGGAAGAATAGAAAGAGACATACAAGGACCTTATAGTGTTGTATGACATCAAAAATAAAGTTTTTGTTTCAATGATATACATTTGGGAAAACTGTGGTCCTTCAAAATACTGAAATATCTTTGTTTCGAGAGTTCTGAATTGGCAACATTGCGAAATATTTTCATTTTTAGGGCAAGCACAATACCTATAGAGCTGATAATATTCAGCTTCAGATGAACACGTTAATTCTGACAATCATAATGAAATATGACAAATATATTTTCATTCCATGAATCCAAAACAGTTAATGCCCTGCTCTACGAAAAACCGCTTTAGAACATGCCTCCGAATAATTTTGAGCTTCTATATCTAGATGACCTAAAACAAATCTATTCTAATGCATTGAAGGTTATTTCTTGTGTCATGCAAAAATTTTTGATGTAAAAATCCAAATGACCAGAAGAAAATCAGTAAATAATTCATTTCAATTTCAATTCATTCGAAAATAATATTCACAGAATGCAGCAAGATGCAATTGATTTTAAATTTAGGCATTAAACAATACTTTTGGTAAAAATATAGCCTGATTTATTCAAATAATTAAAAACTAGTAAAACTATTAGGCATTCTGTGTTATTTTAAATTTCGTGCCAATTGTGAAAAGCAATCCATTTTAAGCATTATAATGCAAGTATTTCCTTGAAGGCAAAAAAGCAAAAACAAGTTATTCCAGAAAATAAGTCTCTCAAAAATCAAGACATTTGGTATTTTCCTTTCAGATTAGATTCATTAGATTGATATGTGAAGGTTTCTGTTTAGAAAAAAATATCATTCTACAATGGACCTTTACACTAAACCCTACATGTATAACAGTACCTCGTTTTATATGTTTTACAATTTTTTTTTTCAAAATCGAGTGAAAACAAGTCATGACGTCACTGACATTTATATAAACTTGGCAACACCGCAAAACTTATTCATATTGCATAATTTTTTTCTTCTTCCTGTGTTGTTGTTGTTGTTCTAACTGCGTGCGATATTGCCAACTTGATTTTTAGGGAGATTTGATGGTCGTTAGTTCCGAAATTAAGAAACAATTCATATTACGTTACAAAAACTTTAATAAAGTTAGAGTTTTGTTGAAGAGATATTTGACGTTGTGGTACTAATTGAATAGTTATATTGTATATTCATTCATGTACTTTTCCTGCTTTACAAAAATGATATACATTTTGGAACTGGTTTGAAAAGAGGGGTAGTGACATAATAGTCATTTTTGAAACTTCGATTTTTCTTTGAAATGGAAAAATTTGAGTGTTATTTCCTGATAATGAATAATTTTTTTATAGAACTTACAAATAATAATGATTTCATTCATTTTTTTTTGGAAAGTGTAAAGGTCTATTATAAACAAACTTTGATTCAACTCTTTCAAGCAGTCTCACGTGGAAAACCACCATATCGTAAATTTTTGAACATTTCTATTTTCTGGAACACCGCAGAAAGTTGTAGCAAAAAAAATATAGCAAAATTGATAATAGAATCAAGTAGGATTTACCTATATAGCTGGAAACCAGGTTACGAAACTTGCGATGATTGCCTTTAATTTCTGGCAAGTCCACTACATGAAGCATTAAAAGATATTTTAATTAAAGACCCAGGGAAGATCATCCTACTAATACTATAAACCCTCATCATATACTAGAACTTTACTGAAAAAAACCAGCGGAATTTGTCTTAGTTTTACAAAAATATATTTGAAAAATGCCAACAGTGATCATAACGATTCAAATTACCCAAAATTTGTTTGGGAAGCGATTTTCCATTCTCAAAAAAACGTTATACAAGCTGGTCCAAAAGTCAACATTATCTTTTCGAGAGCTAAGAGGTAATCTCCCAGAGGGATCTCACATAGGGCCCATTTCATTTTAACTTTTCATCAACAATATTTCAAATGATGTGAAACAGTATCTTAAATGGTCAAATAATCGGCCCATGCTTGAATTTTCAGATGCCAAATCTTTCTTAGTCTATGGCCTTCTTGGTCTCGGGATATAAACCTACTAGATTGAGAAATGATGTATCATAACCAATTCAATTTGAAAAAGCACCTGATACGCTAACAAAAGTTTCTTGTAGATATAGTGACGATCACAAAGAGCTTCTTTTGTATGAAAATAGCAATATATTTTATCAAGCAACAAATTTGATCCCTCAGTTCGAAATAAGCACCTGGTATCTCATTAGTTTTTTTCAGTTAAAAACGGTGACACTTCAACAAATGTCTTCTGTTAAAATAGTGATGATCACAAAGAGCTTCTGTTGCAAGAAAATATCAATGCTTTTCATCTTGCAACAAGCAATTTGTTCACTTGCCTAGATATTCTGTGATTCATTCAGTCTAGAATAAGCATCCGGTATTTCAGTTAAAAATGGTGACACTTCAACAAATGTGTTCTGATAAAATAGTGATGATCACAAAGAATTTCTGTTGCACTTGACTAGATATTCTACGACTTATTCAGTTTGAAATAAGCACCTGATATTTCAACAAATGTTTTCAGTTAAAAATGGTGACACTTCAACAAATGTTTAACTTTTCTTCAATGAAATTTCAAATGATGTGTCAAATAATCGGCCCATACTTGAATTTTCAGATGCCGATTCTTTCTTATTCTATGACCTTCTTGGTCTCGGGATATAAACCTACTAGATTGAGAAATGATTTATCATAACCAATTTTTAATATCAATGAACTGAGGCAAAACATTAATAAAGTTATAGAAATTATTATCACAATGCAATATCTCAAAGCAAGCATTTTCTTGCCTTGATATTTTGAAATTTAATCAGCTGCTTTTGTACAAAAATACTTTGAACAGCAATACCTATTATCATGTGACAAGGAATATGATCACATTCCTAGATATTCTGTGATTTATTCAGTTTGAAAAAGCACCTGATACTTTAACAAAAGTTTCTTGTTGATATAGTGATGATCACAAAGAGCTTCTGTTGCAAGAAAATAGCAATCCTTTTCATCTTGCAACAAGCAATTTGTTCACTTGCCTAGATATTCTGTGATTTATTCAGTCTAGAATAAGCACCTGATATCTCTATTTTTTTTCAGTTAAAAACGGTGACACTTCAACAAATGTCTTCTGTTAAAATAGTGATGATCACAAAGAACTTCTGTTGCAAGAAAATAGCAATGCTTTTCATCTTGCAACAAGCAATTTGTTCACTTGCCTAGATATTCTGTGATTTATTCAGTCTAGAATAAGCAAGCACCTGATATCTCAATTTTTTTTTCAGTTAAAAATGGTGATACTTCGACAACTGTCTTCTGAAAAAATAGTGATGATCACAAAGAGCTTGTGTTGCACTTGACTAGATATTCTACGACTTATTCAGTTTGAAATAAGCACCTGATATTTCAACAAATGTTTTCAGTTAAAAATGGTGACATTTCAACAAATGTTTCTGTTAAAACGAATAGGGATGATCACAAACAACTTCTTTTGCATGAATATAGCAATATATTTTATCTTGCAATAAGCAATATGATCGCTTGCTTATATATTTTGTGTATTTGACATTTTAACAAATATTTTATATCAAAATAGTTATGGTCACCAACCCCATCTTTTGTATGGAAATATTTTTTATGTCGTAGCAAGCAATAACAACATTTGCCTCATTATTCTGTCATTTATTCAGGTGATGAAGTCAGAGAGCTCCTCAATTCAAAAATAATTTGAGCTTTATTTTGTCTGTCTTTATACAAAAAAAGGTGGTATTCTAGTAGGTTTCAAGAAAACTGGTCAACTTGTGAAGAAATACTGTTGACTTTTGGAATACTCCTTACATCAAACATAAGAGGGAAATTATCGTTATTCCGAAGGAAGTACACTTGTAACCCCTTGTGAAGTTATCGCTCTAAAAGTTTTTGTTTCATGTCGATTCAGTTTGTAAGGTCATTATTAACTAGAAAGTTACTCTTCAATCAAAGAAACAGTTGAAGGTTGAACCCTATAAAGTTAAAACAATTAAGTCGTATGGCAGTTCTGAGATTAAAAACATTCTTTTAACAGTATTAGAAAGACTCAAAAGTTTGATAATGAATTAAGACTCTTCTTTCATTTTACAATAGTTTTTTTCAAGTAACAATGTTTAAATCAGATGGATTTAGAAAGAGTTGATATTAGAAACCATCCTCTTAAATTAACCTGAGTTTGATTTGAAGAAAACTTTTATTTTGAAATCAAATGGCTACTGAATAAATACTCACGTGATGGAATCTTCTTAAACACAGTCTGTGACATGAACTTTTGGAATCTTTGGGCATAAAAACTAGGTCTATGTACAGAGACGGTATCCTGTGACAAGAAAAATCATATTCATTACGTTAAAATTAACGACAATGAATATTCTACTTACCCCATCATGGATCATCGATTTCCAAGTATGTTCTAATTTTTTCTTCAGTCTATAACTCTGCAAAATGTCTATAATTCCTATAAACAATAGCAGACGCTCACCTCTTTCATTTCGAGCTGGAATTCCTCCAGGTCTGGAAAAATATATCTCCTTTAAATAATGGTTTCGACTCTTTGTGTCTGAGGTAATTTCTTCAATTCTTTAGCAACACTAAAATATGATGTACGCTTTTGTCTATTATTCAAATCTTTGACAAAAATTTGCCAGTTGACATCGTACATGTATGTCACTTCATGAACAAGTGGTTATAGAGAGAACTACATTTCTTTATTAGACCACATCAAAAAAAAATTACCACTTTTGGCGCAAGATATATAATGGCTTTCATGAAAATAAGTTGGTAGATAATTTCACAAACAAAAAATTGAAGGTACAAAATACATCCATATAATTAGGAAATGGAAATGAGACCTAAAGTGGAGGTTAGGTTAGAAAATAATGTTAGTTCTCTTTTCCTGAAGATGTTTTTCTTGGAGCATCTCTCAGAAACCTATATACATTCATAACTTTTTTAGTGGACTCTTTGGAGATGATATTTACCGGTCATATGTCAATTTTAAGAGTTCTAGCCACAGATATTTCATGCACAAATCGGCTGCATAGTTCCATTTTTTTTTACCGCCAATGAGTTGCTCTTCATCACTCCAGAGTCAAAGTGATGCATCATTGATATGAATTAGAAATAATGTAGGGCCATAAGTGATCCTTGAAAACCTCCATGTCTAACAACCGTTGGATATGATTGGATTGAGTTGAAATATTTCTCAAATCATCTCATAATGATTACATCCTTGGTTCCAAGTGATTGATAAGTATGTGAGTTAGGTTGGAGAGTTCTAAATGGAAATAAAACTGAAAGTAGAGGTTAAGTTTTGTTTTTCATGGAACATCTCCCAGAAAGTTATGTATTTTCTTGACTCTCTGAGAAGTTTACTCTGTCAATTTTAAGGGTGCCAGCCACAAATATTCAATGCACAAATCGGCTGGACGATTTTATCTGTTTTTACCGCCACCGCGTTGCTCTCTCCTACACTAAAGCAAATTCAAATCCAAGATAGAGTGGATGTAAACATTGACATGCCCCACGCATGTGATATTGAAAATCCCAAGAATTGGCCAGGGTCGTATTCAGAACCAACATCTTGTTGATCGCAAATGCTATATCATACTTAGGAAAACTTTTTTATAATAACGAGTGAAATGCACAAGTTTTGCAGTTTAACG